GCGGGCCGCCGGCTGAGCGGAGCGCGCGCCCTGTGCCCGCAGGATGAGGTGGTGGACCGGTGCGCCGAGGCGCCCGACCCGCCCGAAGCGCCGGCCCAGCAGCTGCCCGAGGGCGACTTCATCGACGGCCTGCTCGGCCTGCTCGTGAGTACACGCCCGCGCGCGCGGCCAAGCGACTCCCCGCCGCTCATACAGTACAACTCAAAAATCAAGGGCAACCTCAATCTAGAGACTGCTCTTCAAGTTGTGCAAGGACATAAAAGTGTACGTGCATTTCACGTATTTGCCACATCGGGTTGATGCCCACAGTTCAACAAAAAATAAGAACTGAATATGAATTCGGAACATTAAACTACTATCCTGAAAAGTTGACTTGTACTCTTACTCGCAAGCTTTATAGATATATGATAAAAGAAACCATATTAGATATATGATGAATTGAAACTCATTGGTAATACTTCGGGAATGGTCTCATATGAAGATCAACTGATTAACATGTAAGTTGTCCCCTTGATGGGCAAAATTGATTTTGGAGTGGTTGATAGATTCAGTGTTCTTTACACATCTAGGCAATCAAATTGCTCCAAATATCAACGTGTTTCATTCATTTTTAAGTTTTTTTTTGTTTTTTTAAACAATCACTTTTTTACAGAAAATAAAACTATTGCAGAGAAATTAAGTATCTATGTAAACTCTTTGTCTAGAACATTATTTGGGTAAAAGCACTGGTATTCATTACAGTCAATACATTTTGTAGTTATCATACGTTTGGGCTACAATACCAAACATTATGTCAAATTCAAAAGACAATAGCGTACCTCTTTCTGAATAGATGCATTGCATAAAAATTTTCCATTTTCAATTTGTTCTATTTTTATTAAATTATTTCCAATCTCGATTTTGACCAGCAGTGGCAACTTAGAAATTGCAACATTTTGGCAATGACCCGATACTTAATTCAGTAATGAACACTCAATATTCTGTTCCCTAAACATGTTTGTGACCATAAGTTTAAAAAAAGTAGCATTTCATGATACGTTAATACAACGTGAATATTTATAAGATGTTTTCAACTTATTCTTTACGTATAAAAGAAGTGAAAATGAATTAATTATCTTCGTTCAACAGCTCGTCACTCGAAGGCATGAGTTCCAAATTCAGACATTTTCAAGCAAGTGGAAGTCGCCAATTATTATCTTATTTGCTTATCTATATTTTATGCTGGAAGTAGCCACTAGTGAGACAATGAACACTACTGTACCATTACCTCATTAGGGTCAAATCTTTCAAAGGTATTTTTTTAAATCATTCATTTACTTCAAAAGACCGTTGAATAATAAATATCGTAAAATGAGTTGAGCGTTCTTATCGTAAAATGTCCAACCCAACCGCATTACAACACACATAGTTCAAGTTAAGTATAGCTTTTAGTTTTGAAATTTAAAACACATGTAAAATAAAAGATACAGTGATTTTGCCTTAAACCATCGATTTACACCTTTCATTCATTTTTGTGTTACAAATAGTATACATGGCACGCTTAATTTTATTCTCCTAAAAAAATGTTTTATTTGACAATTGTATTTGATTGATTTTTCTTGTAGAGAAAACGAAAAATGTTCCAATGCTTACAATGTCTCCGGTAATGCATAGGATCGGAGTTGTTCGCACACATACTTGCTTTGTGAATTAGAACACAACGCACTGTTACATTGAATGACACTACTCGCACTACTGACATTACACCAACATTGAATTTACTCAAACGTATCCGTATTTCTTCTTTACTATCAGCTGTTGCCAATTTTTCTTGCTTCACGACTTACTGTGGAATAACGAGCGAAACGCGAAAATAATATTTTGACGTCGCGGAACGTTAACGGATAGACATTACGGAACATTACGGAATTAAATGAATACTTAGGTAATGCATTTTTTTCTTGGAATCATAACATCTATTTATGCACACATTGATAAATATAAAAATACTATTGGAAGTCATAATTAATAATATGGTAATGTGTAATTAATTATTAATAATTAATAATAATAAAGTGCTAATTTTTATTTATTATATATAAATATACTGAAAATAATTTCAATTAATATAGATAATACTGGCATCCGCATAGTTTTATTGATATATGCACTCATATATTCATTGTTTCATTTTGCGGGTTTCGTTAACAGATAATAAGATATTAAAGAGATTGGTTTAAATTATTGTATCAATGTAAATACAAATTAAATAAAGGCAAAACTATCAATGTACGTGAATAATTTGTGTGTAAACTATCAATTATGTTTCTGAACATAGAATAATAGAGATGCAAAAAATAGTTTAAATAAGTTGGGGTCTGATTCACCATGCTGCATTAATTTACCTTCATTCTTTCCTTATTTAAAATACCTTCAGCAATAGTCAGAAGAAGTCTAATGGGTCAAGCAAGCATTACAATTGTTGGCGTTCAAGAAGCAAGGGAATGTTAGATAACCTTGGACTGAACACAAATGAGACATATATGTTATCACGTAATTGTACAAATTTTATAGGAAATATAAATATTGTAGCCTGATCATAGTTTCGCAAATTCTCTCTCTGAAAAAAGTGACTTCGTATTTCTTTTCAGAAAGTGTTTTGAACAATGTTTGTCACGTTTTGTATTCGGACATTAAAGCTGCACAATCTTCCCGCTCAATGCCACTTTATACAGTGTTTTTCAAGACAACGGTCAATTGCAGGAAAAGTTCTCGGAAACACCTACAATATCATGTACTGCAATCGATAGTGTGCAATATCACTTGCCTATTTTATGACCAGCATCACAGAAGTAAATATTCCATGTGTCTGAGTATCGTAAAAGTTCTAGTACATGTGAAGAATACATTTCTTTTTGTAATAAATTTTCCACAATACTTTAGTTGTTAAAATGTTGTATAAATGTTGTTTATAACTATCTTCTCGTTTTTTTAAACATTCATCAATTTTTCTAATTTTCTTCAATAGTACTGCTCTTGACCTCTAAAATATAATTAAAATACAGTACCAAGGAAACTAATTATAACAATTGATAAATGCATTCAAAACCCATTGTTATAGCCATCCTACCTGATCATCTGCTATTTCAAATTATTATTTTCTGGGTTTTTCAAAGAGAATAATTTTCGATACATCTAGTAGTAATTGAAATAAGTAAATTATGTATATTATTCATGATAAAAATACAAACATTTAAAAATTATTTTACTTTTTTAGTAGAAAATCTTAAAAAAGAATATTATTACGTTTTTGAAAAGGAATCTTAATACGAACGAACGAGTCTTAAAACTATGTGTGTTCTCAAACTAACAAGATCATCAGCAAGACCACGCTACTGTGTCACGCGAGTCCCTGAAGGTGCAGTCAAGAGCTCCGACCTGCCATTACGCTGAGCGAGATTCCAGCGGCAGGCGCGGGGAGGTGTCTCGCGTAAGGCGGCTGTCGCGTGACGACGTTCGTGAGCAGAAACGCGGGCCCCGAGCGCGCGCAAGACGCGCGGCACCGCTGCGAGAAAGCGAGCGACGCCGCCGGGCAGGTGCGCGCTGCCCGTCGCGTGTTTGCTATCACGTGGCGCGCGCGGGACGCGAACATCTGCGCACTCACGCCCACCCTGTGTGACAAAGTATCACGAATACGTTACGACACAATTTAAATCATCGTACTCCAAGAATTTATTGAGAAGTTTGATAACACTACTGTTAAGTTAGGTGTTTTCTTGTTCCAAAAATCCAGCGTGATTTATTCAAGACTAATAAAAAATTAACAATATTTTTATGAATAAATTCTATTTTTTAGATGACTAGAATGTCCATTCAATAACATTAGCATAGGTACTTCAAAAAGCGTAAACAATCATGAACTAAATATTACTCAACAGATGTCATTTCTTGCATGGATTACATGGATTACTTTACATTTCATCGATTGTTCTTTTCCCTTGTCATTGATTTTGGTAAGAAATGAAGTCACATAATGAAATATTATAATTATTAATTAAAGTTGAGGGACGATTAAAATAAATTTAAACCGCTCAATTACGGTTTCAAAGCAATACTGTGGGTTGACGGTCGCCTTGTTTCTGAGCATTCCCAATTGCTCGAATCAGATTCCGGATTCTACAAATCATGCCAATAAGCATGTAAAAAACTTATATAAGAGGAACTTTGAAGAAAGTGATATTGTTTTTATAAATTTACAATTATAAGGTTTAAATGAATGTTTCTACAGTTTAGCAAGAGATTAGAAATCACGTGCAATGCTGATTCGGGATCGGGCCCAGCGCCCGCGCCGCGCCGCGTAGTGCGGCCTGCCCGCTTGTTGTGGTGTCGCAGGAGGAGGACGCGCTGGCGTCGCGGCTGGCCGAGCTGGAGGACGAGCAGCTGTACGAGGACGCCGACTTCCCGGCCGACGCGTCCTCGCTCAGCTACAGCGACCCCAACGACGAGGCCCTCGCCGACATCGTGTGGATGCGCCCGCACGTGAGTCACCCCCGCCCCCACCCCCACCACCTCCAACTACTGTAATTACACGAGTGCAAGGACCGGACGTAGGCGGCTATTAGCAATGGACAAAAAACGTTAGCGGCAAGATAGCCTTTTTCGGTATCATCTTGTTTCTCCCTGCCTCACATTTTGCAAGCGTTGCATCATCATTCACACTGTGGTCATTGTCGTTATTATCTATATACTTAACCGCAGACCTCAGCGCACGTACAAGGAAATATCGTTGCAAACTTATCTTTCTCTGCACTTACATGGGGTTAAATCCCGGTAACTCCCTGTTGTAGCGTACGAAACGGGGTTATCGCAAGTTTCCTTAAGATTTTTTTTCTATTTAATCTACCATAACATACATCAGGTGTTCTACAGATTCATCAATATCAACAGGATCTACAGTATCGAACAGACGGAGACTTGAATAAAACATTTATTTAAATTATTAAAATTTCTTAGTTGTAAGTAAAATAACGAATACAAGTTACGTATACACCAATACATACAGACTAATGCCAATAATATAAGTATTTACACATACTATTGGTATTATTATTATTATTATTATTATTATTATTATTATTATTATTATTATTATTATTGGCGTATAGGCCATTACTGACCACGCTACACGATTAACGTGCGTAATTCTTCCAGGATCAGCTTTTCAGCTGTATCCTTGTATTACAACAAGGCTGTTACGCCTTGAAGTGTGAACTATGAGATGATAGGTTGATGATAGGGGAAGGGACAATCACAAATATGACCATGTCTACGCAGGACTCGAACCTGCAGCCTCCTCGGCACAGGCGACGGCTGCCGCAACCGTCTGCGCCACGGGGGCCGACATTATTATTATTATTATTATTATTATTATTATTATTATTATTATTATTATTATTATTATTATTTCTTATACATAATATTTCTTCTCCTACTTTTATTATATTGTGCTAAAGTTTTAATTCAATTTTATCAAAAGTATCAAAATCATTTTCAGTATCAAAACTTACGTTATAACATTCAAGCAATGTAAATCAAATTTCCATCATCTTTAGTTAGCAGGTTTTATTTCCCTAGTGGATTCATGAGGACACAAGGAGATTGTAATACAGAAACATCGCTGTTTCAGAGTAATAAACTACAATGTTTCTGTTGTTCAATTACTACAATTTTCATCACCTCATGACATTCTTCAAATAATGTATAAGCTTTATTATTTGGAAATCGTTTTCTTCTTTTATGCTGCAATTATTTCACTTTCCAACGACTTTGCATGACATTTCGCGATTCACGTCACTGCAATTCCGTTACAGTAACGATACATTCAGTTCGTGTTAAAACTCAAAATACTAGTGGGTCGTAACCCAAGGCCAACATAATCTACTTCAGAACTTGTTCGCATTCATTAACCTTGAAGGAATAATACTATTAATAAATATCACTCAGTCTAAGCTAATGTTTCTGAGATACCTATTGCCTATTGAAGAAATGTTTATTGGACAACCGATTGTTTATTAATAACAAAATATTTATCCAGCTCCATACACTTTAATTAAATAACATTAAACAATACAATAATATTATTATTTAATTACGATTATTAATTAACAAATGCACATCAACTCTAAAAGTAATTATACATATAAAACAGAATATTAGTGAATTTATTACGTGAATCTATATTGTCAATTACTGTCTGTCTGTATTGCGCGACAGTGCGCAAAGGGGCTAGGGCTTATTAGCAGCCTGTCGGCTTCGCAGCCATGGGTTAGGGTTGCGAGATGTCATACAATGTCGTACGTGTGGTTAATACAAAGACGCCGTGTTATGGTCTTCTCAACCTGAGAAGTGCGATTTCTCATCGTTACACAGCAATATATACTGGAACATTGCAAGGAAAACGCTCACTATAATCTTGCTCGACCGGGAATGAAACCGGAATCGCGACATGGAAAGCGAGCATTCTGGCCAAAGAGCTAAACCGCGAGGGCTGGCGATATATAAAGCATGTCCCACCAACTAGGGTCCACCCCCATAACTTCAAGTTATCGGTTCAAGATATCGAAATGGAGTTTTCGTTTAACATTATGCAATCTTGGGACAAGTAACACGCCGTAGAAAAATTGTCTATAATATATTTAGTTTCCGAGCAATCCAATCACATTAGATTTTTTAAATGGAACTTTATACTTTTCTCACCAGCAAAGGAGAGATCATGAAAACAGAAATAAAATGATGTATATTATGTTAGTATTTTGATGATAATTTGAGAATAAAATTACACTTTCTAACAAGTGCTTTTAAGTTATCGCACAATATTCCCTGTAGCAACCCTTGCCACAGTCGCCATTGGGGAAGGTGTCCTTCGCGGCGTCGAGACTGTTTCGTGTCGAGAGGAGAGTGAGAGGGGTGCCCGTGAAGGATAGAAGCGTAACTACAGCAATTCATGGTCTTGACACGAAGAACATATGAACAAACATGAATATCAGAATAAGAGAATTTTCCTCTTTTGCTCGTAATGATAATGGTAATATTCAAACTTACAAGAATCGAGCTCAGTGTGTTATGACTTTAACCAGCTATCATTTTAAAGCATGGGAAGGGAATGAAAGCTTAAAGACTTTCATTGTAATATCTCGTTTAACTCATCAAATAATAGACAAGTAGACATTTTCTCATATTATTTACTGTTAATAAAGTTCCTAATTAATCACATACCAAGAGAATAAAGCAATAAAACATTTGATATACTCTTGATAGTCCTATCAGTGTAAATTTACCAAACTTTAACACAAATGCACATTTGCAGTCGCGATTGCTATTACTGATTGGAGAGTTTCTCACTTCACAGCACCATGTGCTTCCACAAACTTGAAAATCCACGGTGGAAGACGGAAGTGTACTATTTTATTTTCTATTTATGAACAGCAAAAGTTTATGGTTGCGAAGTGGACGAGTAATCACGTTAATTTAAAATGAAATATACTATTAAGAGACCGTGGTTGGATTCTTGCAAAGTTTGAAAATGATATTTATTTGTATCGTCTTCCTTACGCTACCGATATTTTGTATCGTTCTTTGGAATGATCCATGTTTTTGAATTTCGTTAAATGCAGAATAAAAACATCTCCCTTTCTGATAGTTAAAATTGGCGTATCTTAGTGTGACCTCTGTGTCAATACCGTCAATTCCTGTAGTTTATGCCTCTTATCTCTCACTGTCACCCCTCTCAGACTCCCCTCTCCTTGCAACAGTCTTGACGCCTCTAAGGCCACCTTCCCTGAAGGCGAGAGTTGCTAGGGATGCTACAAGAAATATTGTACGTTTAATTCAAAATCACATTTCAGAAAGTCTAATTTTACACTCAAATTTCTACCAACTATTAACATATGATACATCATTTAATGCCTCATTTCGTGATCTATCCATTGCTGGTGAGACAATGAAATTATATAGTTCCATTTTAAAAAATCAAAGATGATTACATTTCTCGGAAACTAAAAATATTATAGACAATTTCTCTACGGCATGTTACTAGCCCATGCTTACGTATTGCTCAGCGAAAACTTCAATCCGATTCCTGAACCGTTTAGAAGTTATGGAGGTGGTCCATGGTTGGTGGGACACTGTGTATAAAATATATTTAAATGAAATCTAGAATATCAACTGGAATTCTACAATATCAGGTTGACATTCACACGATCATTCATCAAAATTCATAATGTATCACATTTAATCATAATTTTAATTTTACTTTCTTCCCAAATTACTTTTTACAGTAAGCTTGAGTATAGTATAGTGCACGTTTTTGTCACTGGAAGTAGGAGTGATCTTCACCCGCTGGTTGGTGAGATCCGGTACCGAGCTACACATGGGATTGCCGGTTTTCCCTATTCAGGTATCTCCCAACAGTGTGGCATTGCCCCAGCCGGGCAAGCTCTAAGTCCCCGACTGGTCTCCCGAGTGTGGTAAAGGTATGTGAAAGAGTGTGTAAGGGGAATGGATAAGAGAAGTAAGAGGAAGGAAAGATTGAGCACGGACCGCGGCCCGTTAGTTAGGGTACTACTCCAGCAATCACCTGGTGTTCGTCGGAGAAACCACGAAAAAACACCAATCAGAGCAGTTGGCCGCTAGAATTCTCATCTAGATAGCGGCTGGTCTCGGCCCACCTATGCAGCTTGTGTCGAAAATCCTGCCACCGTCGGGACTCGAATCCTCGGACCTCCAGGACAGAGGCACTGCAGTTACATCATCATTCCCTGAGCCGCCTCAGTTTGTTTCGTACACAAAAGTACATGGCACCAGTCATTACCTTACCTTTTCGAACTCTGTATTAAGTGCACAGCCTGCTTTGAAAAAGACGTCTTTCGTCTTCACTATTACGTTTTCAAAAATGTTACATTTCTATTACTTAATATATTTTTCAGTAGTATGTTTGCATCAAATCAAATTATATACTTATTACGACATCTTCAAAAAATTAAAGAGAACTTGAAATTTGAATGTTCCTTCATAATTATTTCAGATTCAGATTAGAAGTTTATTTCATATGATGCCAATGCTTTTCGATCTAAATATGAGAACCTAATTTGAGAACCTATCTGTATTTATAAGTTAATGACATGGAGGCGAGGGGAGGGCAGAACAGCCTTGCCACTGAGTTGTGGTGGTGAGGGTGCGCAGGAGCTGGTGGACGAGCCGGCGCTGTTCGTGGACGGCGTGAGCCGCGGGGACGTCAAGCAGGGCGACCTGGGCGACTGCTGGTTCCTCTCCGCCTGCGCCTCCGTCGCTCGCCGCCCGGACCTCATCGAGCGGGTGAGCAGCTCGCGCACCCCAGCACGGCACCGCCTCTCCCCCAGCACCTCTGCAACACGGCCCACTCGCCCCACAGGTGCGACTCAAGGCTCTGCGCCGGGGCATTGCAGTCACCGGAATGGGATGTAGCAAAACCTTTACTTTGACAAACTTGCATTGCCTTCCCGTTTGCAAATCACTGATTCTGTTCCTGCTCTTATTTTCACACAATACAGTTGTGTGCAAATATATTGTACTCGTACGAGTAAATACCCTCCATCTCTTCACTTTCAATACAAAAATCTTACTGTAACTTAATTTTTAATTTAAACCCTACAACCTGTAATATGTTGGCGATTAAGTGAATTTTACAAGCATGTAAGTACTTTTGTGAAGTAGTTACTTATTATCATAAATTAAATAGTATTCACCAGTTATATCGGCATTAAAATATTTGGCAATTATAAACTACAAATTTTTGACTTATTTTATTTATTTATTCATGTATTTATTTATTCCATGTGGTTTCGAGGTTCAACTATTGAGTTCGTTGAAGCTCATGAGAAATGAGTAATGAGATGATTAATATAATGATTAGGTGAATGCTGGTTGAAAAATGATGTAATGAGAACCAGGGGAAATTGGAGAAACTCGAGAAAACCTGCTGAGAGCTCGTTTCCTACACCACATACTTGGCTTATGAACCCCACACCCAACACTCAATCCTACAATACCTGCAACCAAGACGTGAGGTAGGTCATTAGAAGAAAAGATAATAATAAACCTGACGGAATCCTCCCTTTCCAATTAAATTTTCAAAAAAAACAATATACCTATTACCCAAAATGTTATAATCCTGGTTTACCTATTCTTTTTCCCAAAAGTGGGAAACAGTCCGCGTAACCATCATCCCCAGACTGGATATATTTAGCTATTTTGTAGTTTTCAGTATTTGAAATGAGTGTAGAAAAGATTTATTACAGTCAGTGGATGCGTGTCTGTGTGAGAAAGAGACACACAGACACAAAAAGTAAAAGAAAGTAGCACAGGAGAAACATTAAAATATAAACGCAGAAAGAACTCTCTTCCTAGACGCAAACAAAGTTCGAAGGAGAAGTGCGCTTAAGAAATTTAGTCACGAACATCGCAGTGGCCGACCCGAGCGTTTTCCTTGAAAAGAACATGGCGCATTGATTTCCTCGAGCAAGGCCTCCTGGAAACCGAACACAGCACTGTCATGGTCCCTGGAATCCTGTTTTACCCTCAGGATGGCCATTAATTTCTGCTAATCTCGTTTCTGCAAGTTTCCTTTAACTCTCGTTTTTTAAAAAAAATACTTATTTCGCCTATGTCTAGTATTACATCAGAAATGTCCATTTTTAAAGTATCAATTGAGCTATTAAATGTTGCCAAAAATACTAATATATTTTATTCATTTACTGTTAACGGCAATAGAGAGGAGGGACAAGGACTCAAGAAAACTCGTGCCAAAAACACGTGGTCAACCAAAACAAATTAAACAATGGAGCGCAGCGTAATAAACATTGGAAAACAATCAGTATCAGTGTTCTGCAAATGCATTACTTCTGTTCCTATGTAAAAATTAATAGTTCACATGTCACAAGCCTCTTATATCAACCCGACCAGTAGAATACTTATCCAGACAACGGCAGAATTCGACCTAGCTTGAAAAGTGAGACTAGTGTCGAAAATCCACGACTGCCGAGGCATGGAATTGAAGACCTCCCGATCAGAAACTTTGCAGTGTCAATTGTTCTTCCTCTAAGCCATCTCAGCGGTAAAATCTTAATGTTGTCCCCAAAAATACCGGTATGGTTTTACTGCAAAACAGGAATTTTTTCATGGAAATGCCAGTATTTTCATGAGAGAATAACGGTATAAAATATTTAAATATAGGTATTGTACCGGTATAGATGTCTGACAAAGGTAAGATACCTCTAAAATACCGGTATTTGACGTCGTATACCGGTATTTATAATTTAAAATCTTCTATTTCGAATAATGGTATAAGGGAGGTAAAGGTATTTCTATTCCGGTAAAATTTCGGTATTCGGTTCCTGCTTGGCGGCGGTGAAACTGTGGCGCTTCGACGTGTGTGGCGCTTCGTGTGGCGCGCGCGCGCGTGTGTGTGTGAGGGTGAGATATGAAGTGAGTGTATGGGCACCGATGGCGTCGCCAGGACACCCGCTTCACGAGCCAGGTTACCAGGACGTTGCGGAGGTGGGGTTGTGGCGCGTTGACATGTGTGTGTGTGTGCGCGCGCGCGTGCGTATACGTGTATGAGGGCGAGCTGTGAAGGGAGGGAGGTGGTGTCGGGCTACCAGGGCGTTGTTGAGATGTGGCTGTGGCGCTTCGATGTGTGTGCGTGTGTGTGTGTGGGCGAGCTGTGAGCGGAGTGTGTGTGCGCAGGTGGTGTCGCCGGGGCAGCCGCTGTACGGGCCGGGCTACCAAGGCGTGGTGGCGGTGCGGCTGTGGCGCTTCGGCGCCTGGGTCTCCGTGCACGTGGACGACCGCCTGCCCACGCGCGACGGCCGCCTGCTCTACGCCAGCTGCGCCGACCCGCGCGAGTTCTGGGTCGCCTTCATCGAGAAGGCGTACGCCAAGTAAGCCCCGCAACCAAAACGCTGTCCTTACTGTCTTCTCTCCGCTTCGTCTTATTCTTTTATATTTTCGCTTGCTCTGGCAGTGGTTTTTTTTCACCTCTACCTCTCTTTATCTGTACTACCTCATCTTCTTTGACTTCTTATGGGCAATCTGTGTTTTTAATGATATTACATCATCAGGTCAACGTTTTGGAGTGTTCCTGATGGTCTCAGAGATAAATAAGTTGTAGTTCAACATTCAATTTTATGAATTATAAAACTTTTTAATTCAGTTATTTGTATTTTTTCATGTCCATTGTGTAAGAGGAGCAAATTTACATATCATTCGTTTTTAAAGTTTAAGAAAAATATTTTATCTACATTTTGCCGAGGCGAATCATGAAATTCAATAAAGGATGAGGAGTACCCTGCTGTGGTTAAATGTAATAATATTAAAATGTTTTGTATTTTCATGTTAATCCTTCGCTCTCAAGGTCAAACACAAGGATTTTTGTTATGCTATAATTACGGTTTGTTCACTAGGTATATTAACTAATATGTTAATGCCAGTATACAGTATGAGAGTAACGCGCCATCACCAGTAGTTAGTGTTTGGTGCATATTTCGACGCCCTGGGGTTGGCAGCGTGTGCGTCCGCTTGCAGGCTGCACGGGAGCTACGAGGCGCTGGCGGGCGGGCACTCGCTGGAGGCCTTCGTCGACCTCACGGGCGGGCTGGCCGAGAAGCTCAGCCTCAAGGAGCTGCCCTTCCGACAACTGCGCATCGCCTTCGAGCACGGCGCCTTCGTCACCTGCGCGCGCAGGGTGAGCCACGAAGCTGCACACTCTGCCTCGTACCATTCATATCGGACTAGTAGTATTGTAATGTTGGCCATTTCAGGCTACTACAATGTAATAGTGTAAAAAAGAACCTGCCACGTAAATATTTACTTCGTGAGAAATACATTATTGTATTTTTTTAAATAATACATCGCAATGGGGTTTGTATAATATTATTCATGCATCTATCTCTATCTGTACAAAATATTAATAGGAAAAAATGGAGCAGCTTTTGATAAAAAGTCGTTAAAGGTTTCTGAAAATGAGCATTTTGAGCTCATTTTTACAGAGAACTTAATACATTTTCTATTATCTTCAAAACTTGGGCAAGGAGGTAAAAATAAACTCTCGAATCGAATAAATTATTTTCGGTGAGTATAGATATCGTTCTTACAAATATACTCCTGGTCGATATGCATAAATTACTTCGATTTTTGTAAAGAAAGGAATCTTTCTTTACGAAGGATGAAATAAATGTGTCCATAGAATAGTGACATTTAATGTTCCAGAGCTCTGATTCTTCTGATAATTGCATTCATTCACACATATCGAATACATTGCGTATCTTTAACAACTTTTAGAGATGTCATTTGGACACATTCAACTATCTACAACACAGTGAATGACAAGTAAACAGAACACAGATTAACTTTATATTAAGCTACTCTTATCCCTACGAAAATGATATTAAGCAAATTGTCGAAAGTTTGAGATTTAATTTCTCTTCTGAAGAGCCAATAGATTCCATCAAAATTATCGATTTAAAGAATTTGCAGAGTGGATTTAAGATTGAAAGTTATGGTTTATAATCTAACGATTTTACTCCAAGGAAAAATAATCTAAAACATGAATAAATATTAGATTTATTTTAACTGATGAACAAATTACACGTTTTCTCGCTCTCTTAAGCCGCTGATGCACCAAGCAGCCGAAGAACAACTAAACAGAAATAAGATCTCGGAGTCCAGCTGCTGTCGAAGAGCATATAAAGATTTGGGCGAGCTAGTGAATCACTACTACATTATTAACAATTAACCTTAAAACATAGTTGTTACACTTTATTCAAATTACATTTAATCTATTTAAAATAGTTTAAAGATTACAAAATCTGAAGTATTTCATCCAGAGTTTGCTTATCATCTAACATCAAACATTTTCCATCTTCAAACCTTAAAACATTCGTACTTCCCTATAAAATAGATCACACCTATAGTGAAAATTTGCGAGAAGAATTATTCCATGATTTTTGCATTCTATAAGAAATAACGATTCCTAAAAATGCCTCAAATTTCGAATTAATCAATTCACATGAAATGAAGATCAATCCAGAGTTATTTTTCTTCCTCATAACCACAAAACTTTCGCGCTTTGTGAAAATGATTTCATGTTTCATTTTATTCACCACTAAACATATCGAATATCTCGCTCTCTGTAGATACCAAGACGCTACGATTTTTTCATAAAGAATAAAATTGTTCTGCGCTTCTGCGAATAGAAGGTCTTTGACCTGTTGAAAGTCCCTTCTTTCCAGCATAAAAAGCGTCGCGAGGTAATAAATTCTCACTACGTAAATCGCAAATGTCGCCTAATTTATTATTGTTAGATTCTGAGTCACTTGATTTTTGCCATCGCGAACAATCCTCAATCTCCAGAAGTAATCAAATAACTGCTAATCACTCAAGTAATTGCATTTCATGTCTTCGAAAATATCTATTATTTTTTCGTCGTTTCCTTAAATATATTGATTATAAAAACCAAACAGCAATAACTTTTTACTGTCACATATCAGTTCTCTTTAGGGGTTTGTTCAATGACCTAATCTGTCAAAAGACTATTCTGTACTGAGGAAACGAATGTCGGAAACTATAGTGTAGCAGCTGCTAAGATGCGATCATTTCCATAAATTTTTATATTCGGGTATATACGTTTCCAAAAAGACCTCAATAGCTGAGCGGAAAACAATACTTTCCTTATCTTAATTAATCTACGCGAAGATCAAAGCAACTAACTCGTTTTTACTTTGGGGTACTAATAGAGGAAGAATGCATTTTTAGGACATTATCAAAATTTCTTACTACTACACTAACTAACTTTGCTAGTTTATTATTTAAATTAAAATAATAATAACAATAATAATAAATAATAATAAATAACAATAATAATTATTACGATTCAAGTAGATAATAAGTATTACGATAGAAGTTCCACTCAAAAGATCAGCTTGATGAACAGTTCTTGTAACCTGAGTTTCGACACCAATAAAGAAATTATTATTAACATTACTATTAATATTATTATTGATATTATGATTGATATTATTATTGATATTAATATAAATATTATTATTATTAATATTAATATTATTATTAATATTAATATTATTATTATTATAAGTTACAAATCATGGTATTTTCTGAACCTACAAACCCCTCTGGAGAGCGTCCAGCCGGCCAAGACCTGCAGACCCGGCTTGTGAAGAGAAGAGCGAGGTGGAAAATCCCCGGTATCGCACTTCAATCGCTCAATGCTTTCAAGTGCGCCCAACAGAAGTAAAGAAATGAATAAACGAATTCCCCAGATCGATCACTATCAGCACAACAATAATCGGTCTCCGAGGCCCCATTTGCGCACCAACTGGAGTTGTATAAAAGTTGTTTAGAATGAACATCAGTATCACATCAGAGCTTGCAAACATCTTCGATTGATCGCTTAAACTGCTATTTTGAGTTTCATCATCATCCTCATCATCATCATCACGTCGAGTCAATAGCTTATTTTAAACTTCAGGCTTTTTATATGAACTTCCTGCAAAAAATGTATTTTACAATATATTATTAATAATATTTCCAGGGACTCACCGCATTTATTGCTCAGTGACACTTGCTCAATGGAAAACAGTACGTTGGCGTATCTGCGGTTCCCATAACCACATACCCACAGGGCATTGCTCCACCGGCCACAATCCGGACACATGACCCAAGAACCACAATGACGCTCAGGAATTGCTGTGAAGATCACTTTAAATCATGCAATCATGGTCCAATCATCCCTTTTTTCAGCAAGTATTCTTAACTTGTTCCGCACAAAAGGACTTAATGCTGCTACAAAATTCGCGTGAAAAGTTATGGAAACCAAATAAATATTAAGCAGGCAGAATGGTAGACGACACAGTCGGCCTCGCATAGTACGTGATAAATTAATTTTTGTATTTTATTCTTAGTTAAGTAAACAGTAATTTCCAAATAACTATTCACACGTACAGAACATTAAAGGCCAAAAAAGATCACAAAGGATTTCAATGTACGACTCCCTCCGTATTTTGTGGGTCCAGGCCCCCCATCTCATTTTTCACTGCTGCCTTTGCTTAACCCATGTTTGGCTGAAACTTCTTATGGTCTCTCGTTACATTTATGGCGAAAAAAATAAATTTTCTACAAAATATTAGTTAGGATCGGCGGGATCTGTCTCTTGCATATTCCACCGCTTTTATTATAAATAAATAAGTAAAGAATACAACATAAAATGTTTTGCTAATAATATAATAGTTATTTATGTGTCAAGACGTTAAGTAAATGTTATTGCCCTGACGGCAACTTTCAATCCCGAGGGGCTGAAGTCGCGTGAAGAGCAAAAATACCAAATAACGCTCGTAGTGAACACAAAACTTTATGGTTTACTAAGGTCATTGCTGATCCAAACGAGAAATAGGAGCATTTTAAAATTATCCTTGCATCAGAAGTGAAAAGATGAAAATATTTCGTCACAAAAAGAAAACAGAAGGCGATTCAAAATACTCTTGCATAACCGTAGTTGGATTGCCAACAGTTGGTATAGCCTCTTAAGACGTGCTGTAGCCAGAGCCCTCCTCTCCCCGCACTCCTCGCTGTGGAATATCAAGAAAACTTGCGCGTATAGTAAATGATTTTTTCCCGATAGCGTCTTCCAAATCCGAGGGCCTCAGAGCGGAGGTGTTGGAAGTCGCCCTCGGGGCAAAAACATCTAATAACGCCTGTGGTGCGTAGAAAACTTTATGGTTTACTAGTTCGTTGCTGAATCAAACGAGAATTCGACACATTTTATAACTTTTCTTACGTGTAAAGTGAAAAGACGCTTTGAAATAGTCATTGGTCATGTGACGTCAGATAAACAAAACAGAATGTGTATCTAATTACTACTGCATTCTCGTTGTTGGACTGATTTGTAAGTACAAAATTAAGTATCACTGTGAAGTTCCTGCTGAAATTCTTGCAGAAACTAACAAAGCTACGGACAGTGGTTTACAGTAAAATCTCTAGAAATATATTAAAATAATTATGGTGTATGTGAGAGGCATGTGGAAAATAGATATGAATGCTTTTAGGTTAATTGCTTTGATCACCAAAAGTAATTTAGAATATATCATAACTTCGAAAAATAACATTTCGAGGATACTAGCCACTGTGCCGTACACATCTTATTACTGCTAGTAGTACTGCTACTCAAAAATCACATTTATCTTTAAAATGGCAATACGTAACAGTGAAATGTGAGTGACTGATGGAAATTATAAATTCATGGGAACTTTCAAAGTTGTAATTTTTATATCAATTAAGCAAAATACGGTTTATAGCTAATTATTTCATTTAATTGAGAGTTACGCCATTTACTTATGGTATTTGATTTTACCTTAACTGTAATAAATCGAATTCATAAAAGTGTTGTAGGTGTTGTGTTGGTATTAGAGCCGGCCATAAAGTATTGAAGAGGCCCTCGGGAATAAAGAAACGAAAATGCCCGCAAGGATATTAACAATACCGTTACGTATTTTGTTTCCGGTCCGTAAACACACAGCAATGAAATAGTAAACCATAAAATATATTTTCACCCGACCTCGTGAAGAATAGAGCGATGTATTTTTCACCTCCGACCAATTTTTCTCCTAACGTTTGAATCAATCAAGGGATTTTGTGAACAGGGAAACCAAATGATCTCTTTTCCCCGAAATAGGGATATAAGCCTGAACAAGTAACTGAAGAATATATTCATTGGCCATTAAAAATTTACAGCTTTTAAGGACTCGAAGTTATGTAATGTTGCGGAAAATCGATTACGATATTTCAACGGAAATTCATGTTTTAGAGTCTAGTGATACAATATATATTTTTTTTTAATCGTTGGTCCGTCCGTCTGTCTGTCCGTCTGTCTGTAAACAACGTTAGCGCCTAAACTATCCATAATATTTTTCCTCAAATGAATATTCCCTGGTCGATATAGCCTGACACAAAGAGCTGACATTTAAAAAAATCTTAAAATGAAATTCTTTAAATTTTGGGGGTATTTCATGAAAAGTTTCTCAAAATTGGCTTCAATTTTTTTCTTTACATTTCTTGTAAGAAAAGAGTGAAATAAAGATTGCATAATTCCGATTTTCATGATTTCCTCTGAATTTTCGAAAATTAGACAAGTTTCATTTTTTCGGCGTCTTCGTACAACTATAATAATAAAGTTTTTTCAATTACAATTTGTTCTTCACAATTAGTTCTTTAAATAGCATGTCTTTTGTTTGTTGTATATGTCTTTCTTTCAATTGGTTGCTGGAATAGAAGGATGTGCGTTTATAAAACAATGGCATAACTTCAATTTCATTAAAATATACGAAATTTTGAAAATCGGAAAGTTCAAATTTATTTTGGAACCTCTCCTATATCTCCAATATTAAAGCAAGAGATTTCTCTCTCGATTCAAATTCATCCCACAATTTTAGATCTTTAAATGATGTCATGCACATATTTAAAAAATATTTGTTGTTGTTGAGTAATAACTAATGACGCTAAGAGCAAGAAAACTTGAGATAGTTTCGTTAAATATGTTTCTTCAGAGCACTATAATTATGGTATAGGTCCAATATTCATTAAAATCGCTGATATTTCTATTTTGAAAATATTGACAGTTTTACAATTTTTTTCCAATCTACAATTTCTTATTAAATTTAGATATTCTAATCAATTCCTTAATAATTGATCTTTAGCTTATTTCATTGAAAAAGGTCTTTAAAACTTTTATAAGGTAAAGCGCAATTTCAAATAATCCCAAATTTCAAGTGTCATTATCATTTAAGCTTCAACATTGTATCATATTCCAAGATATGTTGTTTTCTTCGAATATCTCGCACTCCGTTTGGTAAAAAGGGGCTGCTGAAATGTTAGTAGAATACAGGCTCCCGGAGACCGGCGTGAAAGATCCGCAGAGGGTGCGGCGCAAAGAGTTTCCCTGCTAGACGCCGCGACGAAATCCGCGGGACCGTTCACACCGGAGCATGAATTATGACTCTGAGTTTTCTGACAGATTTCTTCATCCGATAAACAATGGCTAGGGAGCTCGACCTAAGAGAGAAACGAATACTCCTGAACGCGCGCGGACTTCCACGAAACTCGAGCGGCAGCGGACAAAATGCGTCCGACTGCGTTACAAAATCCGCCGGGGATTAAAAGCTGCCAATCCGCTGCCGCGACGCTCGCCTGCCGCGCAGGTCTAAACGTGCTCATAAGGCAACACGTGACGCGAAATTTCCGCTGCGGCCATTCCGCCTAGGCTGTGGATCTTCCACCACGGTCTGTGAGAGCCTTACAAGTAGAGTTGCCACCTATTGACACATACTCACCCGGAGATATTTTCATGAGCGGGGGGGGGGTGTTTAAAAAAATTGAAAATACAGAAAATGCGTGCAAATTCTTGAAATCGAAGAATCAGAAACATTTGCACGCGTAGTACATTCAATGTTGTGCATGACCCGGAGATGAAAGTAGTAAACCCGGAGCCCGGAGATTGGTCACGAAACCCGAAGTCTCCGGGTGAAACCCGAACTTTACTTACAAGTAGCGATATTTCAGTACTCCGTAAAGGTATCAAGTAACGGGAGGACGTGCGCTTGTGGTGCGCAGGGCGACTGGCAGCTGGCGACGCAGCGCGACGAGGCGACGGGGCTGGTGCAGGGCCACGCCTACACCGTGACGGACGTGCGCCGCCTGGAGCCCCGGGAGCCCGACGGCGCCGTGCGCCTGCTGCGCCTGGTGCGCGTGCGCAACCCCTGGGCCGGCAGCGAGTGGACGGGCGCCTGGAGCGACGGGTACCCTCCCCCCCCTCGCCTTTACATACCACTAGCTGATACAGGGTGGTTCAGTCCTCGTTGCTAATACACCAGAGACATATCCCATACGTAATGTACAGACTGAATTTGCCAAAATTTAATACTCTTAGTCGTTTAGTTTTGTAAATAATTAACTTTAAACTATGCCCTTGTGCTTCGTGTAACACGGGCTATGGCAAGTGAGCGAGCGGCTGTACTTCGCGTTACGGTTCGCCACTTCCCTGGAAAACTCGGTTATTATTACTATCAACTAAGGCCCGAAAGCGAGCGCAAGGCAAATAGCGCGCGAGGTCAAAGCATCGCGATCACTTGGTGAGGACTCCATGCAGAGAGATTTCGACCTTTCCATTTCCAGCGGGTGCAGTATTTGCGCAGTAGAGACTTCCGTCGTTCTGAATACTCCATGCATTTCCTGCACAAAGGCAAGGCAAACCAGGAATTTCTGAAACCGTTCTTTGGTCACATCAAGCGTGTTTTAAAAGAATTGGAACAATTAATATGTATAATATGCATTTGTGAGCCGAAAAACATTCACATCTTGCACTTCGCGTAGCTCACCAAGAGTGATTCTCTGTAATTTGTGAGTTGGCATTGTGGATGAAGTTACCGCCGGCCCTCATAACTACCCGAGTGTTTCAGTTCTGAATTTTATAACTCAGGTTGTCCATACGCTTTTGGAGGTCTTATTCAATGTGCGGGCACAGATGTAGTACCAGCATGAAGGTGACCCTCCCCCTTGTTATCACGGAGTTCGGGAATACCTAGACTTGCAATTTCCAGATACGTGGATCGGACGAGGAGGTTCAATGGCACGGCCACCTGGGTCTCTGGATTTGAATCTGCTGGACTATTTTTTTCGGGGCTAATGAAAGACCGCGTTTATGCTACTGAGGTCGTGGATCGTGATTGCCTTCTTCAGTTCATTGAAAACATGGCGGCAGAAATAAAGGGACGACCCGTCACAGAGGCCGTGTGACGCAGATGCCGGACTTGCGTTCTCGCAAGAGGACGTCATTTTGAACCCTTGTACAGCCCCCGTTACACGAGGTGAAAATGCGAAATTATGGCTGTATACGCAAATAAAAAATCATCCTACTCATGAATAATTTAATGAACTCTATTACAGGGTCCTATATGTGCAACGAGGAGTGAATCACTCGGTATTTATTTGCCACAACTAATACGAAAAGAAATGAATTTTACCTGTTGTGAATAATGCAAGGATTTTTATTTATAGCCCCCTCGCACTGCCTCCCTCAGCCCCACCATGAGCATGCCTCTGCTGGAGCCGCTCCTCCATAAACCCGCATTTTCTAAATTTAATGCGGCTGATAAAAGCTTTTCTGATCTAAGAGTCCTGTTCAAAGGAATGAAAAGATGGAGATTCGGTTTTCGCCTTCATTTTGCCGCCATCTTCGATCAGGAGATCGAATGAACCTGTTTTTACTCTATCAACTTTTTTGATATTATTAATGGGACGACAGATAAATAATGGACTCCATTTTACTTTCTCGCCTTATAAGTACGTAGTAAATTTATTGTAATACGGTAGTATTGTAATGCTACGACAAAAAGAGGCGATTTTGTGGATAGCTTAAAAGACGATCAAAAATGGGGTAGGTCTCAATTCGTTAAAATCTCTGATTTTTCGAAAACTACAAAAGTTCAATTTTTTTGGTAACTACAATGTTAAAGGTAGAGATTTTTTCTTTAGTGAAATCTGTTGTTCAAAGACATCTTGAAATAAGGTCAAGTATTTTTTTGAACGAGTAGTTTTTGCGTTATTTTTGCTTGATGTTACTGCAATTCATAAAAACTTTTTCCAAAACTGGCTCAAAAGATTTTCTTTAATTTTTTTCTGCAAATAGAGTAAATAACGCTTGAAAATTTAGCAGGTTTCATTTTCATTGAACACTCTGAATTTTTGAAAATAGTAAAAGTTAGAAACAATGCGAGAAAGTAAGTGTTGTAGCTCCACCAGTTTAAAAAGTTTTCTTCTTTAGACGACTCTTGAAACAATGAAGCTGCTTAACTTTAAGCGCAAACAAAGAAAAATACACCAAAATCTGTATCAATTATATCGCATAGAAACTCTCGTTTATGTGGCTTAAAGAGCCTGCAAATTTAAGACGCCTGGTCAGAACTATTTTCATTACTAAAATACTATATTTGTTTCCACTGACATTGGAGGTCCGTGGTGCAATTGTCAAACTTCTCAGTTCACATCTCTAGGATACAAATTCTCTTCATTCCGAGTGAAATTCTGAAGGACAAAACGAGTTCCTGGGGGTTTCCCTTGCATCTTTTCACCTTATTATATCATCAGGGTTGATCATCATCTCGCTTGACATCCCCAACCCATTATTTGCGCACGTTTCTCGGAAGCTCACTCAAATAACTAGGCCACTGAACAGTCGCCTCTGGTGATCTCCTTGCATATGAAGCCATATTATAAATGAATGAATGAATTAATTAATACGAATGAATGAATGAATGAATGAATATGAATATGAATATGAATAAATGAATATTAATAAATGAATGGATATGAATAAACGAATGAGTGTGAATGAATGCATGAATGAATTTGAATATCAATATAAATGAATGTGTGAATAAATATGAATGAATATGAACATCAATATAAGTGAATGAATAAATGAATAAATATGAATGAATGAATACGAATGAAAGAATGAATATCCGAATGAATTAAGTAAATAAATAATAAATGGTGCGCAGAGATCCGCGATGGGACGCCCTCGATGAGGAGACGAAGCAAGCACTGAGCGTGACCGCCACAGAGGACGGGGAATTCTGGATGGAGTATGAGGACTTCCAGGCGCAGTTCGAAGAGGTGACGGTGGCCACGCTGGGGCCCGACTTCGACGCAGACGGGTCCTCCGACGCCTCGGACCAAGTAAGCCGGCGCCCCAGCCCCGCCCTCGCCCCTACGCTGCTCCCGCCCCGCCCCTTCTCCACCCTGCCTCCGACCCCGCCCCGCTCCCGACCACGCTCCACTCCCGCCCCGCATCGCTGTCCGCGCGCCTCGGAACGCCTCCACGACGCCCACGCTCGCCCTGGCGACTCTGCTTCCAGGTGAAAATCATCCAAGACAGATGGACCGAAGGGGAAAACGCCGGCGGCTGTCGCAACGACCTCGAAAAGTTTGCCACTAACCCTCAGTACCTCATAAATCTCACAGAAACAGGTACCAGGACTTACGTGCAAAAGGCACACTTACTAGCTGTCAAGCTGCAGCTGCTGGGTTTGCAAAATTATAACACCATTTAGCGGCGTCGTAGCTAAAATGAAGATGCTTCTGCAGATGATCCCGACTCGGAAAGTGGTGATACTGCCAAATGCAGTCTGCTGGTAGGCCTCATGCAAGAGCACAGGCGCAGCGAAAAGAACAGGGAGATGCGGATGCGGGCCATCGCCTTCTTCGTCTACAAGGTACGAGTACACGCACGCTGTACGCGTCACCTTCCGGCAGGGGCGAATTGACGGGTGGGAAGCCGGAGGGCGCTGCCCCCTCGGGACTTCGACAGCCCTTCCAAGTCCTTAAACATTTCTCCTCGCCGGGCCTTAAACATTACTCCATATTATTGTACGGTACAAAAACGGCATACAAGATGAAGATGAACGAAATGGAATATGTTCATTTCTGGTCATCTACATTAGATGCCTCGTTTATAATTTCCACTTGGTAATGTTCAAATCAAAGAATCGAAATGAATGGAATTGGGCTCGAAAACATTACCTCCAGCATTCTTAGGATCTATTCAGATTGTTTTCTGTAAGCGAATGCCTGCTTTCCTCTCTTCAGTTCTTCGATTCACTCCCTTCCTGAAGTTTTAAACGCCCTCCCATGGAGAAAATTGCCAATTCTCACCATGCCTTCCTGTCGCCCTCACCAACAGTGTTTGCACAGAGTGAAAGTAGATAGATTAAACTGATAGCAATCACAAGACAAATTTGTTAAGTGCTGATTGCGTTTTGCGTATCATTTGCCTTCTAAAATGCCACGTGAATGAAAATTGTTCCGAATTTTAATGGCAGAGTGCACTGCTTTTCCCAGGTTAACATATCCCATTGGTTTCTATGACGTATTCCATTTAGCATTTGCAATTATTTGACGATATCAGCACCCTTTGATGTTACAACTTACTTTCTGTCACGTTTATCGTACACGCTATATGACCCAATAATTCCTTAGAATTCCGGTACTATTAGTTCTGAAAAGTTCTGAAAAAGAGTGGTTACCTGGAAAAAGTACCAAAAACGTTTCCTTTCGACATTTTGAACGTAACCAGAACTATCTATAACCCGAAAATTTTCCTTTGTTAAGTTTGGGAGCTCAAAAAACAGATATTTTTTGACTTTATGAAAGTTTTTTTTTAAAGCTCTCTAATCGTAAGTCCTGAAAACAAATAATTCTGACCAATTTCAAGCATTATACTTAGTGAAAGCTTGTTTATAATTTTAGTTTTATAAAGTCAGTTTCTGTTATGAGCACGTGTTATGAGTTCGTAAAATAACTTTTTTATTGAAATTTCCTACTTTACAAAATCGTACCAGTGACAAAACAGTTATTCACCTACCCGGGAGATGTACCAAAAGTGTAGGGTTGCCGTACGTTGAGGAAACATTCAAAACACTTGCAGGGATACTGTAAGCCGAGATGTTCAGATAACACAGTCCAAATTGTTGCCGTAAGAAAAAGCCATCTGTCACCAAGCACTCACTAGCCACACCGCACGTCTTATCGGTGGAGAATGTATTTGTGTTTTGTGTGCACACATTTTCATATTACTGCTTTGTTTAGATTGATAGTGTAGGTTCGCGACGCACCTCAGTCATTAGCCAACTCGACGTTTTGCTTAGTAACGATTTTGACTTTGTCGAAATAATAAGTGCAAATTAAGCTAGGCCGTCAATGTATCCGGCGTGCCTTTTTCGTCGTGTAGTAAGGACATGTCGAGAAAAGTGAGCGTCGCTGGAGCTTCGTCGGTTTGAAAGACTTGGTAGGTTCTATTGAATGGCCGTCTCAAGCATTGAGAGAAGGACTCGATATAGAGTTCCTTCCCTGGTACTTACACCGAAGCAGAGGGCGCGCTATGAGCCTCAGAATTGTTCCGTACTAGCTCAAGTGTATCCTTTTATGTCTTTTCTGTGGACCACCACGTCGCCGCGGCGTAAGTGGCCAGAGGCCGGCCGCACGTTTTATAGAATGCCAGGCAGGTGAAAGTCCAAAGGGCGTGAGGGTTTTCTCAAAAGACGTCTCTGAAGTTTCGATCAGAATCCCCTAACATATAAATGTTAACGCATCTTTCGATCGAAAGTGACGCACAGGTAAGATGCTTTAAGAGCCCTTTTCAGTTTTGGGGCTCTGAGTGTTAATTATTTGGACAGCGTGGATTTGTGTTTGCGGTGTAGCAGATTACCTGAAACTTTACCGTTTAGAAAGTCAAATGGTTTAGTTCAGCCCATTTCAGCGTCTGGTTCATCTGTTTTGGAAGTGTTTTCAGTTTGTGGCCTAGGTTTTAAAATCCTCTTGCTAGCGTCATTGTGCCGATAGCACAAAAGAAGAGACGAATTCGTTGTATATGTGATATGTCATTGACGTACAGCGAGAACAGCAGCGGGGAGAGAACGAAGCTCCATGGGACCCGGCCGCAATATTATATTGATATTATATTCAATATTATATTGAATTATTATACTGAATACACCATTGTGAATCATAAATATTGTGCATTTAATAAGAAAATAACAGAAATAACGTAATAAAGCTGCATTGAAGCAAATCACAAGCTAAAGAAATAAATATTTAATCATAAAAGTATAACTTTTGTATTATTTCTTAGTTTTTCCAAGATCATGAGTTAAAAACGAATCGAATGAGACACTAAGCTGCCATGAAGAAGTCATGTTCTCGCAATTTTAATTTTAACCTAATATCGGCATCCCCTCCGTATTCTAAAAAAAGATTATCGTTTTGTATTCTTCGTTTTTAAAATCATCGACCCAAAACAACGTACGCTACGTTTGGGTAAGGAATTGCCTCCCAGGCCTGTATCAAATAGATTTAAGACAAAACCAAAATAATATTGTGAAATAAAAGTCAGTTAGTATTCCTTTTATAAATATTTCAAATATAATTTCAGTTTACGGTTAGGACAGCCACAAGTAGATTGTTGTTGTGTCTGAGGATAATTGAAGTTAAAACTAAAATCACTTCATCTAAATGGTACCACAACAATGACATCAATTACAGATCTAGCAACAAACAAGAAACAACAATTGAATAATGCTCTAGAGATTGACCAGTCTCATGCAAATATTTATAAAATACACAGTATTATCTATTACCATTGATTGTATGCAAAATTATTCTTGTCAAAGCACTTGAGTAAAAACTATTTTCTCTCGTACAGTTAACAGTATGCAGCATACTACTCTGTAAAAAGAAGACTGTACTAACTTAAATCTGTGATTTATATCTACCCAGTGGCCTGCAAGGGACGGATCCCATGAGTTATGTTATTTCCTCATATGATACTTCTTTCCCACTGTTCTAGCACATCATGATGAACTTTACTTATTTTCTGATAACTGTGATGAACAGAACAAGAATCATTTATTATCGAAACTAATATTTTCTTGTAGATACAAAACGTTTTAAGAAAATACAACTTTTTTCTTGTCAGCGGTCACACCTTTCTGTCATGTGATAGAGATTTTTTATTATTATTATGTAGGCTTTTCGCAAGCATGGCAGAATGTATGGTATTCGCCAGTTCATTGAAATTTTCATTCATAGTAATTCTTTCAAGTTTACTGTTGTGAAGTAAATTCATAAGTTGTTACAATTTACAATTTTAAAGACTGGAGACAGACATACTACAAAAACAATCTGTAAAGACTTCCAATCAAGAGAGAACTATAAAGGCATATTTTGCTGCCAGTAAAATGACACCATTTTATCAAAGGTCTCCAGGAGTCGCTACTGCTTTGACATTTATAAATGAAGTGACATCTCATACATTTGTCTTACGTCATGATGCACATAACGCCCGTTCAAATTGCAAATTAAATTCCAAATTCAAGAGTAAAAGTTAGTCTAAAGAAGCAAAAAGTATGTGTTGTAATAACAGTAACTTCAAACTTTGACGAAGCTTGTAAATATTTTTGCCAGAAGTTTCAAACGTGGAGACAAGAGTGACAAGGATAAAATATAATTCTAGCCTCGTTGCACGCATAAATTTTGTTTAATAAAATCATTTTTTTGAAATATGAGTTTCTTTCGTTTAAAAATACAAATTTATTATCTCAAATAAAAACAATTGTTTGTTGTAAAACTGTTTGATTTTGAATGCAGCAGACATTTCAAAAACCAGAAAGAATAAAAAAATCTTGGGTTGTGGGTTTCTCCTCTAAAACATTAATTTTCTTAGAAGTTTTTCGTTACAAATAGCTATTAAAAATAGGATTTTGCAGATCATATGGAGAACAGGAACACACGCAACCCGCAGTACTCGCTACGATGCCATTCTCTTTACTATTCTACCTCAGGAACAATGCGTCCTGGGGCGTTAATATCAGAAACTTGAGCCCCAAGAGGGTCGCGATTGGTCTTTAAACCCGTATCCTTCAAAATGAGATCATTTTGTTTCTTATTATATTTTTTAATATCTAGCTATTCTGGGCATTTAGCTATCTCTGTAGCTTGAGTGGTCAGAAACAGCAGGAATAAAACCAAGGCACTAAAAGCATGAGTATTCCTATCGACCCTTCACTTACTGCTGCAGTATAGTGTAATGGCTGCTGTAAACTGTTTCGAAATTGATAAAATGTTATTACACAAATAACAATATGTATCCACTTTTTCGTTACCAGGGCCCAACAATAAGACTTTTTGTACCAAAAATTTGACGTTTCCGGTGCATGATTACAATACTTTCTCTTCTTAATTAATAAGTGCGAGAAAGTAAAAAGAAATTTATTTTGATATTCTTCCAGTTGCTCATTCGTGCCACATAAAACAGTTTCACAGTTCAATTTTAACAAAGCTAGGGTTATTTCTCAGCTACTAATTTTCATCACATTTCGTGCACTTGAATGCGATCTTCAATCATTAAATCAATATAATCCTAATTTCTTATATATTTCCAAATAAAATTATCTTCATTACAGTTCTTCAACCTTACTCGAAAGATATTTTAGGTTTAACGTGTGTCTATCTGAAGATGGTGGATATGTGTATTATACGGAATACAGTTTGTCATATTACTACAATTCTTCAACTAGCGAATAATAATGATTGTTATTCACGAGTTGATGTTTACCACACGAGTGACGTAAGAGCGAGTGTCTTAACTTCCACGAATGAATCATAGCCACTATGCGCGGTTAGAAGAATATAATTTCTATACGACCTAGAAATATTAAAAAAAAAGTTTCATTACTGTTTTTTTTATTTATCTCATTTTTCAATTTTACTTGGATTTTTCATTATTGATTTTGCTAATTTTATTGCATTGAGAATGTACATGCGCTTCTTAACATTGAGTAAATCTTCTATAAATTAGAGGGAGAGAGAAAGTTTACAAGAAATTTTTGTAAGGAAAAGGCCAGGAAAACGTTTACCTTGTTAGTCCATCTCCACTCCGTTAATGTCGTATACCATAATACTTTATTTTTCTGTCACTAATTGTAGAGTTGTAGAATTCGTTTCTTCCAAAATTACTTCTGGAAATGTGATTGGTCGACTAGCCGTGGATTCCAAATTGGAATCCATGAGTTTGGATCAATGTCATTTCTCGATTAATTATACAGCAGCAGTACATATACAATATTATTAAATGGTCATAGAGTAGTAGTTCCATTAAATTTGTTTCCCCTGTTAACCACATGAACGCTGTGGATTAACACACGAGAGGAGAAACGGGTGACAGTCGTTTTCCATTCGCTTAAATGCGCGCGTTGTATAAAATCATTATAGAGTAAAAATTTCGATCTCACTATCAACAAAAAATACGAGTATATACATTTTCTCTCATTCATAGAGATGGTATATTTTAGCAATTGCTAAAAATTCGAAATGTTACCACACGCTGAAAAAGATTAGTAATTGTATGATTGATGGCCGGTGCAATATATTTCTAAAGATTTGCAATCTGCGATAAACTTTCCGAAATTGATCGCAAAATGCGAAATCACATCTAAAATGCGAAATGGTCAACAAAATGCTTACTAAATTCCATTTTATGGTTTCCTTTATGTTCACTTTCTACTCCACTATAGATGCGTCATGGACAACATATCATTGTTTGAAAACATTAAATTTCAGAGTAGGGGCGGATCTAGAGACAAATTTTGGGAGGGAAATTAAATATGTTTTGGTCGATTGTGTCATTACAGATTTTGTAAAATGTAAAAGCTCAGTTCATGATGCGCTACGATTTTATTCGTTTTAATGATTATCCGAAAATATATTTGCTTGAAAATTTTATGTCACATTAAGAGTTTCTGAAGAAGTGGAGGGGGAGAATTTCCCTCATCCCCCATTCCCCTGTTGATACGGATCCGCTCCTGTTGAGAGTGGCAGTGTGTATTAATTTATAATTAAGATTTAACTGACAAAACAGTAAAAAAATAATAAGATCAATTTTAAAAACCGATCTTTAGAGCCTGAGTACTCAGGGTCACCTCCAGGGGTCTCAAATTTCTATGTTCCCTGTTCGGAGGTCACGGGAAGAAGAGGAAGGCCCTATCCCTATGGCGCACGCCTTACTTCTTACGCTTTTCTGTTTGCTGAAGTCCACAAATGGCGGAATATTAAATGAGTTTCCCTATTTCCTGATTTCGACGGGAAATCTAAACAAGTCTCAAAACATGTTTTTATCCCAGTCCTCCTTTAATAATAATTTTCTCAACAAATGCTGCAAAATACTCTATCTTCATTTTTGTAACGCTATAAAATGCGGTAGCCTTGTTTTCAAAATGCGATTTTTGAAATTTTTAACTTCTTGATTCTACCGTCTCTACTCATACATCAAATCAAATAAAGTATTTAGTAATAATATTCAGAAGAAGAAAGTGTGTGAGAAGAACTTTTATCCTTTCCCTTACCTGAGAAATTGCCCCTGCTATTACCCCAATAAAATACTGCACTATACTTCCAGTTTTACCATCAGATTGTGGAATAACACATTCTCAATCTATGACTAAAACTATGATTACAGAATATCATTAATTGTTATTTCTATCATTTACAGACTGACACACCCAGTGAGAGACTCAGTGCTGAATATTTCTTATGCGTCCCTGAGGAAGGTTCATCAGGAGTATTTGTGAACAGCCGAGAAGTGTTAGGACGATTCGAATTAGAACCTGGGTATTATGTGTTGATTCCTGCAACATATTATCCAGATCAAACTCGTACTTTCATGTTACGAATTTTTGGTTTGAAACCATTTGATGTCAGAAAACTTCCTGATCAAGAAATTCTAATTCATGAACAAGATGCCTTTGTTGAGGAGATAACATAGTGTTTTTCTTTTACTTCATGAGAATTCTTTTTCAAGCTCAATGCATTACACAGTGTGAAAAAAATATTTACTTTCAAAGAGCAATGTAGGAACTAACACATGTGATACTTTTAATGACTGAAACCCACCTACTTTGAAGAGTACTGAATCTTTATACTGCATATTCAACAAAAATAAAGTGTGTTATAAAACTGTTTCTTAATATTTCAAATGAATTCATAAAGAGAAACGCAAATATTTCAATTATTTTCATGCTATTAAAATGATATTACTTGAATGTTTTATATCACATTGTCTTCATCCTTTCCAAAATCATGACTCATCTGGCATGCTTATCTTATTCAGTTATTTTACTTTACCACGATAAAATATGTAACTTTACACAACTTATATTTACTAGCAGTTAAAGATTGTGACATACTTATTGTCGGCATCGATCGGACAAGCCAGTCTGCTGACATTTGGAAGCCTACAAGTAATTTTTGAATTAGAATGGACAATTACTCGTGTCAAAAATTTACAATTTTGCTATAAAGAAATTCCGAAAATGTGTTAATTCATTATTTCTCAAGAGAACAAAAATTAAAATTAAAAGGCATGTCCGAAAAAGTCATTTCCTTGTTTTCTAATCACTAGAGAATGAAAAATACAGGTTTTTACAGGAAAAAGATACCTTCATTAAATGTTTTTATTGTCTGAATAAAAACCTTGTTTTACATGGCTATCTCTTTGGGATGTGGTTTCTCTATCCCCAAAAAATGAATAAATTCAAAATACTTCGGGAAAGGTTAGCCGCACTTTCTGTAAACCGAGAATAGCGACACAAATGTCTGTCATTGCACAGCCTCGTCTTGGTTTGTGTTCAACACTCTGGGCCTGCTCGGCGCTCTTCCCAGTTTGGGTTCATGGCGCTAGCGTGGGGGAGATAGGGGGGAGGAGTCTCTCGCTACCCCGTACTTGACGTTGTTCGGAGAGAGGGGAAGGGGAAGGGAGGGAGAGAAGAGGGGGGAACAACAGATAGAAAAGAGTGTAGGGTGTTATTTACGTGGGAATTTGTGGCCGGTATCGGGGGGTGGGACAGCGTTTCATAATTCGTACGCCGTATACGGAATTTGCGGTCCAGTGGGGTGTCATTCGGGCAAGCCGCATGTCGCAAGGCCCGCAATGCGGACGGGCCCAGGTGAAAGAAGACCGATTTTTAGGAAATATTTTTATTATATAAGGTACTAACACTATTGGTGATTGCTATACACTTTTTTAAACGGGGCCCGAATAAAAGTTGCGCACTCATTTAATTACGCTACTGCTGTGGTCCATTTAAATAAAAAATAAAGTCAGTTGTCAGAAATGCGTGGAAATCTGGGGGACAAGAACGACGACCTAAGGACTAAATATGTTGTGTTTTATATATTTTAAATGTTCCTATTGAAGTTCAGCAAGACCTAAAAAATTACCACACCCATAAATTTTCTTGACATC